TTTTAATCTTTAAATAAAAACTTTTTAATTTTAATTATCTATTTTCTTCTCCTCCTATTCCTCTTCGCGAGCGATAACGGGTGGGGCCCGTGCGCAATCGCGGCGGCGAACGCGAGCGGCGGCGGCGGCGGCGGCGGCGAACGCGAGCGGCGGCGGCGGCGGCGGTTCCCCCGTCCCCGCGCATCCCGCACCCACAACGCGGTTCCCCTCTCCCCGCGCATCCCGGACCTACAACGCGGTTCCCCCGTCCCCGCGGACCCCGCGCCAACGACGCGGTTCCCCCCTCCCCGCGCATCCCGCACCCCGCGGTTAGGCCAGCTGAGCGAGCGGCTTTCCGCGGCTTCCCCCTCCCCGCGGACCCCGCATTGGATCGTGAACGTTCTGAGCGGTTTCCCCCTCCCCGCGGACCCTCCGCGGACCCCCCTGCCCCTCACCCCCCCTCATAGCCCCCTGGGTTAGAACCCGTCCTATACATCTACTCCCTTCGACCTTGTTCTTTACGAATAAGTGATTAGATTAAGGTTATCAATGTGATGATTAGATTAAGCAACAATTGTCATAGTTCGAGCTGGCTCAAGTAGTCAGCTTTCGTATTTTCAATACGAGGCGGGCGATATGTTCGAGCATGAGACTGACTCGTGCTCCGCGCGTGTTTCTCCCTCGGCCGGCCCGTGCTCTGACTGTTACGTGCTTTTCACCGAAATGCGTAAACAGGCAAAAAGTGCTCTTGTCACATTGGCGCGTTCGCGCCGGATTGGCTGAGTTAGCACCGTGCGACTGTTCCGCCAATCGTTACGATTCCCGATCTGCGGTGCTCCTGCGGGACAAAAACGGAGCAGCGACTCGCTCACCAGATTTTCGGACGATCAGGTACCGCGAGCACGTATCGCTCGACGCTCTGTAACGATCGCATCTTTTCTGTATCTCAGCAAGTAATAAAGACCGTAGTATCTGTTCACGCCCGGTGCATACGTTATTATCCGCTCCCGCTCACGAACCGG